AAACAGCTCATTGAGATGAGGCAATAAACTCTGAGGTGAGCTGTTTGTTACCTACAAACTTAAAAGGTGGTGTGTGAGGTTTAAAAATGAAATGAGTCCAACATAACAAAGCCTCAGTACTCCTGGGCAGTTTACAATTTGCTCTAGTTCATTTTAATCATTGAGAGACAGGAGAAATACAGGGATTGTCAGCTTGGGTCAGTGTTAATGAGGGAAATAAAAAGATGAGACACACTGACAGGATCAGCAAAGGCTTTTCATCACTTGGAGATAGTGTAAGTTCTTTATAATTAACTTAATTTATAATTAACCTAGAACACAGGTGCTTTCCTCCTAACACAGAGGAAGCTGAAATCAGGAAATCCTCTGGGGAAAGGACTGTGATGATATGTGGCCGGCTGGGATCCAGGGTGAACTGGACCTTCAGCCCCTCCTCCTAGCATGAATTTCCCTCTGGAGCAGTGCTTTGGGAGGCTCTGTGCCTGCAGGCTTTGGGAGGGCCCCTCAACCTCCTGCCAAACTGGGCTGTGACTCCTGAGACGTCTTTTGTCTTTCAGGAGGAGGCTAAGGATTTTTCTTGCGAGACTGGCTCTATTTCCCTGTTGTCTCCAGACCAACCCTGAATTTTCCACAAGGATTACAGTAGGGCTGGAAGATACCATGGTGGTGAGAGGATTATTTTAGCCAGTTGGTACGAGGGATCTTTGGTGCAGAAGCGTCCAGTGAAACGGTGTGACAAAACTCTTGAGGGGGTTATGACTATTTCGGCAAAAAGGCAGATTAGATGAGACAAACTGACATGCTACAGGACAAATGGGAAGAACTGGACACTTCAGCAGCCGTATCAAAGGACTGATTATGTTTAAGTCCCCAAACATTCTAAGAGTTAGTAAACAGCCTTCTGTATATGTGGAAATATACGTAATGTGTATATCTTCTGCTATAACAGCATAATATTTAGACTCTAAGAGTAATCAGGGGCTATTGCTGATATGACGATCCCACCCAGACAGTATTGACAAATACTCCCTAAAGACAGTGCAAGAGGAAGATGCTGTCTTTGCTAGGTGAACTGAGAATGAACTTACAGAGACTAGAGTAAACCTTTCCTAAAGAAAGTGCAAAAATAGCCTCCCAATTTAAAGCAATCTGTATGTTATAGCTCATGTGAGAAAAGGGTGAGGAGATTTTCTTGTAGTTTACCAGTGTAATCCTAGTCAAAGTGAATGGGAGCAGTTTTTCTCTCTTCCTGGCCAGCCTAAGTGTTTTGGAGGTGTGTTCCCACAGAAGCTATACTTGAAGCGGTGGTGCCCTCCCTGGGAGGCACAAGTCCAGTACTGCTGCGGTGGAGCTGGGGCCAGATGCCATCTCTAAAGGAGGAAAAAGCTACTATTCACTCTTTTAGAAGAAGTGGGGCCGGTTTCTCAGCTACAACAACGAATAACTTAGGATGTTATGCTGGTTTTGGCTGGGATAGACTTAATTTTCTCCACAGTAGCTAGTGTTGGGCTATGTTATGGACTTGAGCTGAAAACAACGTTGATATACAAGGATGTTTGTGTTACTGCTGAGCAAGGATTACACAGAGTCAAGATCTTTGCTGCTTCTCACCTCACCTGCGAGTATGCTGGGGGTGCAGAAGAAGTTGAGAGGGGACACAGCTGACAGCGACTAACCAAAGCAATATCTCATACAGTATGAAATAATGCTCAGTAGATAAAGCTAGAGGAAGGGAGTGACATTCAAAGTGATGGTGTTTGTCTTCCCAAATCAAGGTAATGTGGGATGGAGCCCTGCTTTCCTAGAGATTGCTGAACACCTGCCAGCCGAATGAGTGGTGAGTGAATTCCTTGCTTTGCTTTGCCTGCGTGTACAGCTTTTGTTTTACCTATTCAACTGTCTTTATCTCAACCCAGAAATTTTCTCGCTTTTCTTCTTATTATTATCTTCCTCATCCCACTGCTGGGGAGTAACTGGCTGTGTTTGCCTTACTTGGTGGCCGGCGTTAAACAGTGACAGGCACTGCAAGACAAACCAGGCGTAGATACGTAAGAGCCAGCAGAGCTGCCCTCTGCACCCCCTGTCACAAAGGCTAGAGAATATATCAAAAGGCATTGAGTTAGCCAGCAGCATATGTGTGGGTTTAGACCTTCCAAAAACAGGGGCAAGTTATTTATAACGATAGGACTGATTAGCCAAGGTTATGGCTTGCCAAGGGCTAGAGTGTATTTTCTCTTACAGAAGATTAATAAGAGTAACAATCAGCATGCCACATCCTTTTGGTATCTGTATTTTTCTAAAGCAGATCTGGGGTATTTCTAGGGAGTTACAAGAAAAACAGACTGTCCAGTTGTCTGGCTTCAGTCTGCACAAGTCAAAAGACGAATTAAGAATGCGGGCTGAGGATCTGATGTTGGGTAGGGCCCCAGGCCCTCAAGCAAGTGCTGGGAAGGCACCCTTAATTTTCCTCACAGGTGAAAATTCTTTTGCATGAGCAGGAGATGACTCTTCCTGCTTCTGCCACAGCTGCCTAGTGGGAGCAGTGCTCTTCAACAAAAGCACGAGAGCAGTAGTTCCTGGAAACAGGAACACGTACACTGTATGCACCCCAACTAACCTCTCTCAGGGTCTCCACATATTACAATCCATTGCTGCAAGACTTAAAAATAACTTGGACTCTTCTCTGCTTTCTGGCTTCTGCCCAGAGTTTCTTCTCAGAACATCACCTTCTGGTCTTAGGATGCAAGTGCAATGTGCATGGGGCAGCATCTTTCTCTTTCCGCAGTCTTCGAAGCAAACCCTAATCCTCTGCCTACCTGCTGTGAAGTTTTTTCCGTAGGCACAAATCTCCCACCCAGAAAGCTGCCCACACGAGCTGAGTCCCTTCTCTGAGGGAAGGGAAAGGCGTCCTCTTCCTCCATTGCGTATCATGGAGGGCAGTTGGGCATTTCACCATTGTAGTCTGAGAATAAACGTTGCACTGATTTCACAGGGCCTAACACCAGGAGTCCTTTAAATCAGGGGCAAGCCCAAAGGGTTTGTTGCTAAATGAGGTAGGCTGCCAGTGCAGAGCACTAGAGGAAAACAAATGGGGCAGACTTCGTATATAATTAGACAAGTATTTCCCTGTGTCTGAAGGAAAGGATTAGAGAAGGAGACCTTGGTCCAGAAAAGCAACTCACACGAAATGTGCATTTCAAGGGGAGTCAGTAACCAATGCACTATCCCAGCACCACAACTCCTCTCATCAGCAGTTCGGTCTCCAGAAACCCTGCAGCACTAAAAGGAGGAGAGAAGTCTCCTCAGGGATTTCACAGAGCTGAATGGAAAACAAATAAAAAACCCCATCCGACCAAATAGAATTTGTACAACCCCTCACACGTGGCAGCAAACAGAGGAACAACTGTGCAGTAACTCAGACAAACAGAAAGCAGGAGCCTAAAGCCTATCTGTGACACGTGATGGTAGCTAACATTTTTGCTAGGGACTGGGGCAAACTTAAGGTGGAATCACTTGGGCTTTCTCCAGACTGTCTGTGGAGGGGGCCTCCTCTCTGTGGCTCTGCACCAACTCTGCTCCTGCAGCTAACTCCTGACTTCAGGGTGGCTCTGGTGTATGTGCAGGATGGCCACAGAGTTAGTTGGAGGCAAGACCATGTATGGGATTTTCCCTACTGTACTTTCAGTCAGCATTTTGCCCTCTTTTATACACCCCAGTCACAGGGCTTGTGACTTTCTAGGTTCAACGCAGCTTGGCTTTGATTCACCCGGAGTCATACGGGATGCTGAAACGCCACGTGAACATTCAGAAATGGGTGTGGGGGATATCTGGGGCGAAGGGTGGTGTCAGGAGTCAGGATGCTGCTTGTGTAAGAGCGAGCAGGCTCTTGCGAGGTTCCAGCAGGCAGCAGGCTACCTCCTGCTAACTAGCTAGCCTTAAATCTCTGCGCTGTTCCGAAGGTACCAGCAGATCAGTATCTCACAGGCTAGTCGTGGCTTAAATAACAAGCGGCACACTGCATTTATATAGCAGTTCTGACTGAAGTTTTGTAACTGGGACTGCGAAGCTGCATGCCATTCACCCCAGGGTCTGAGGACCTTGCTAAACCCAATCCAAACGCAGAAGCAGCACCCAACCGATGCAGTAAACAGACCCACGAAGTACTGCAGCTCCTGCCACCTCCACCTCCCTGCCCAGCAGAGACAATCGTCCTGCAAAGAGGAAAAGCCGGCGAAAAGAGGGCAGCCTCCTCTCTTGCCGGCTGCGATCATCCACGCCCCGCCTCTTCCTTCACTAACAAAGCATTTCTCTTTTCCCTCTGGAGGCTTTCTCGACTGTAATGGAACCAGGGAAATCGCACTTTTCAAAAGCTGCAGCCTGAATTCGTCCGTCTGGTAGTGCCCCACGCAAACGACCTTAACTTTCAGGCACCTTTTAAATGCTGGCATAGATCATACCAAACCCTTGGCTTTCATTTAACTGCAAGTAGCGCTGATTTGTACCCGGGGGCTCCCGTCAGTCCAGGCTCGTTACAGGCATGAGGCCGGGCTGGAAGGATGCACAGACGCATATTCTCAGGGAGTGTCACTCTGCAGCAGTAACACGAGGACTCCAGCCCGGATTTTAGACAGAGATCACTTAACAAAAAGCAGACGCAGGCACTCGGGCTCCGGGATAAGAGCCAACACGGCGCTGCACAACAACTAGAGCAGCTTACAGTAAGGATTTCTAGGATCACGCAGCAGCACAGGATCACTAGCTTTTAAAATCATACACATCGCGCCTGCAAAGAACAATTGTCAACAGAGGTCTCCCGCTGTCCGCTTTAAATGGCCTGGGAAAGCTCCAGCCCCCCACAGCTTCAACCGATCCCCTTCTTGGCCCC